GGGGACACGGCCCAGCGCCGTGGGGACACAGGAACAGCCCTGGCCGGTGTCCCCAGGGCCTTTCCCGGGGATTTCCTGCCGGGAGAAGCTGCCCGGGGACATTCCTGGCGCGGCCCAGCCTCCCTCAGGCAGGGTTTGTTTCCCCCGGGAGCCCTGGAGACGATCCCGGCTGTGGCCGCAGCTCCAAGCCATGGAGCGGGGAGCGGCCGGGGACCCCCGCGGGCTCTGGGGGGACCCCCCGGCAGGGACCCTCCTTGTGCCACGCGGGGTGAGCCCCGGAGCGCTTCTGCCTCTGCACGGACGGGATAAGGGTGGAAAGGGGAGAGGGCTTGGCACAGAGGGTTTTTGGGTGGGCACCGGGGTTTGCAAGCGCCCTGCGGACCCCGAAAGGCCAACCGTGCCCGGGGACCTGTCCCCAGGGATGGGGACGCTGCAGGTCTGGGAGTCACCCAGGATGGGAGGGCGGTGTCCCTGGAAAACCAGCGGAGAGCAAATTCCCTCCTCCGGGGCTCCCGTCCTGCTCCCCAGGGCCACCCGCTCCTCCCGCCACCAGCCCCGTCCCCTCTGTCCCTCCACCAGCCCCATCCCCTGTGTCCTGCCACCAGCCCCATCCCCTCTGTCCCTCCACCAGCCCCGTCCCCTCTGTCCCTCCACCAGCCCAATCCCCCCTGTCCTGCCACCAACAGTGTCCCCTCTGTCCTGCCACCCCAATCCCCCCTGTCCTGCCCCATCCCGGTCCCGCCTGTCCCCAGCCGTGTCCCCTCTGTCCCCTGTGCCCCGCTGCCCGGACTCCGCATTAACCCTTCAATGTGCAATCCCAGGCTCTCCCTCCCCTCCTGCCTTGCAGCCCCGCGCAGTGGGATCGCCCCCCGGAGCCGTCCCGGTGTCCCGGCCGCCGGTGCTGATCCTGCAGCAGCTGCCCGGGCTCGGGGCCGCCCCCGCGGGACCCCCGCCCGTGCGGGGAGGTGCGTGCGGGCAGGGCGGGGGGCAGCGCCGAGCCCGCCTGGGCTCCTTCGTGCCGGCCCTTTGCGGGGGGAGCAGCGGGGCTGAGGCACACTCAGCAGTGTCCATCCCGCCCTGGCATGGGCGTTCAGCCCCACGGGGTGCGAATCCAAGATGCTCCCGGGGAACAAATTGAGGCTGTTTTTTTTTGTTTTTGTTTTTTTTTTTTTTTTTTTTTTTTTGGGGGTTAAAGGGATCAAAGAGGGGGTAAAGGGACCAAAGAAGGGGCAGAGGGACCCCAGGGCTGTTCAGGATCACCGTGTCCTCTGGGGGCAGCAAGTGGGTGGTCCCAGCCCAGCTCAGAGCAGCCCTTTGGGGTTCTGGGGCTTTGTTTGGAGCCCAGCTCTGACAGCTCAGACACCAGGCAGGCCTTGGGCAGGGGTTCAGCCCAGCTGGGAAGAGCTGGGACCCTCTGGAGGCACAGCCCAACCCAGCAGGAACTCTGCAGGGGCTGCCATTTAAAAACCCATCTCAAAACAAAACCGTATGAAACATTTCATCTCCTTGGGGGGAACAATGCAGCTTTAGGGGCAGGGCTGGGCTGTGGCAGCTGCTGAGCTCGCTGCCAGCTGGCACCTCCTGGCACCCACCCCCTGCCCTCCCAGTGCCACCAGGGCAGGGCCGGCCAGGGCTGGACCCTGCCTGCTCAAACGGCTCTCAGACACATCAAAGGGCTCTTCCCACGGGATTTTGGTCCCATCTGTGGGGCTGCCACCTCCCCGTGTCCCCCCGGGCTTTGTGTGGGACCGAGCCCACCCAGCCGGGTGCGATCCCTGGCAAGCGGCGCTTTGGGAGCCCCGGAGCCCAGCCCTGCCCTGCCTCTGTCCCCTCTCGCAGGTGCTGGCGGGGCCTTCACAGGGCGAGGAGGAAGAGGAGGCCGTGGTTTTCCACCATCACTACATGCCCTGGCCCGTGCCCGGCCCGGCCCCCGTGCGGTTCCTGCGCTCCTCGCCCGGGGACGGGCGGTGAGTGCCGGGTGGGGCTCGGTGCCAGCCCGGTGTGGCACCGCCAGGGGACACCATCCATCGTCACTGACCTGTCCTCGCTCCTCCCAGCAGAGCTGTGCCCCCCCCGCCGCCCCCCAGTGCCACCGGGACCGTGGGACCCGGCGTGCCCCCAGCAGCGGGTAAGGACAGCCTGGGGACATTGTCCCCATGGCCCCCGACAGGAGCAGCTTTCCCTCAAGCTTCCATCACCCCAGGCTGAGCTTCCCTGCTCCCTGTCTCCATTCCATTCCATCCTGTCCTGTCCCATCCCATCCCAATATTGTTCCATCCCAATAATGTCCCATCCCATGGATCCCACCCCATCCCATGGATCCCATCCCATGGATCCCACCCCATCCCATGGATCCCATCCCATGGATCCCATCCCATCCCATCCCATCCCATCCCATGGATCCCATCCCATGGATCCCATCCCATCCCATCCCATCCCACCCCACAGAGTTCTACACCGCAGAGCAGGGGGGGCTCTGAGCTCTGCCTCCCTCGACCCCGAAGATCCCGGATGGATGCTCCACCCTTCCCGTAGTGTTGGGGTTTTGGGGTGGTTTCCCTGCTGCGCCCCCCAGGCAGGGCTCCACAGCCCTGGGGACACCCCGGTCCCCTCCAAGCCACCAGGCCGGGGTGGCACAGGCTGTGCTGTCCCCGGGGGTGGGGACAGAGGATGGTCCCAGCCCTCATTAGTCCCTCCAGCTCTCAATGCAACATTGCCTGTAATTAATTCGCTTTGTTAAGAGAGCGCCCTGCTGTCGCTAATTAAGCATCTGTAATTACTTGAGCTGGTGGCTCCGTGCCTGAGTGCAGGGGCTCCCTCGGGGCTGGGGGCACCCAGAGCGGGGG